TAAGCAAAGATTTAATCAGTCTTTTGTACAGTACAATGAAATTGACATAAACACCAAAAATATTAATACACAATGGCATACTTGTGTTGAAAATGTTCTTAAACAATATACAACACCGAAAATTTGTATATATTGTGAAGAACCTATATCAAAAGTCACAACATTAAAAAATAAAATAATGACAACTAAAATATCTAATTTATCTAATGAAACAATGCAATCACGTGGTGTAATACATAAATTGGATACTATAATGATAATGCCAGATCAATCTAAAGATTATCTTAGAAAACTTTGGCAAAATGAAAAAAATTTCTTAAAAGTTATTATACCTTGCTTTGGAATGGTAGATATTGAATATCCAACTGATATATTTTTTTTTGAAGTAATACCAGTTCTACCACCTATAGTAAGACCAGTTAATTTTATTAATGGACAAATGATAGAACATCCACAATCTCAAGTTTATAAGAGTATCATTCAAGATTGTCTTGTACTTCGAAATATCATTCAAACAATTCAAGATGGTGATACAGAACAATTACCAGAAGAGGGAAAAGTTGTTTATGATCACATAAAAGGTAATACAGCAATTGAAAAATTGCATAATGCTTGGCAAAATTTGCAAATAAATGTAGATCATTTAATGGATCGTGATATGAATAGAACTACAGATTCTGCAAATTGTCAGGGACTAAAACAAGTTATAGAAAAAAAAGAGGGAATTATTAGAATGCATATGATGGGTAAAAGAGTTAATTTTGCTGCTCGATCAGTTATTACTCCAGATCCTAATTTGAACATAGATGAAATTGGTATTCCTGAAGCTTTTGCATTGAAACTAACATATCCAACACCAGTTACACCTTGGAATGTTGTACAATTAAGACAATTAGTTTTGAATGGTCCTAATATTCATCCTGGAGCAGTGATGATTGAAAATGAAGATGGAAGTATACAACGTATTTCTATTTCAGATGCTATTCAAAGAGAGGCTATTGCAAAACGTCTTTTAACAACAAGTGATAAAGCAAATAAATTTTTTAAAGGCATTAAAATTGTACATAGACATTTACAAAATGGAGATATTCTATTATTAAATCGTCAACCAACTTTGCATAAACCTAGTATTATGGCTCACAAAGCACGTATTTTAAAAGGAGAAAAAACATTACGTTTACATTATGCTAATTGTAAAAGTTATAATGCAGATTTTGATGGTGATGAAATCAATGCTCATCATCCTCAAAATGAACTAGCCAGAAGTGAAGGTTACAATATAGCAAATGTATCTAATCAATATCTTGTACCTAAAGATGGTACTCCATTAAGTGGCCTTATTCAAGATCATATAATTTCTGGTGTCCGTTTAACAGTAAGAGGAACATTTTTTTCGCGCGAAGATTATATGCAATTAGTTTATGCTGCTTTATCTACAATACAAGATAATATAATTCTTCTTCCTCCTAGTATTATAAAACCAATAGCTTTATGGTCTGGTAAACAAATTATATCAACTGTTATCATTAATATTATTCCACCAAATCAAGCGCGTATTAATTTAACAGCAAGTGCCAAGATCAATGCAAAACAATGGCAAATTGAAAAAACAAGATATTGGAAATGTGGTACTGAATTTTCAAATCCCAATACAATGTCAGAAGCTGAGGTAATAATACGAAATGGAGAACTATTATGTGGTGTACTTGATAAAACACATTATGGTGCAACTCCATTTGGTCTTGTACATTGCATTTTTGAATTATATGGAGGAACATGTTCTGCAAAATTATTAAGTGCTTTTGGTAAATTGTTTCAAGCAGCTTTACAAAGAAATGGATTTACACTTGGCATTGAAGATATTTTATTATTAAAAAAAGCAGATAAGAAACGCAAAGAAATTATTTCTAACTGTAGAAAAATTGGTGAAAATATTCAAAAGTCTGTGTTAGAATTACCTAATGATACACCTATGGATATAGTTACATCTAAAATGGAAGAATCTTATTGGAATGATCCCAAATTTCGCGCTCAAGTCGATCGAAAATACAAAAGTACATTAGATATTTATACTAATGATATAAATAAAATATGTTTACCAGCTGGTCTTTTGAAAAAATTTCCAGATAATAATTTACAATTAATGGTTCAATCTGGTGCAAAAGGTTCTACTGTAAATACTATGCAAATATCTTGTTTACTTGGACAAATTGAATTAGAAGGAAAAAGACCACCTTTAATGATCAGTGGAAAAAGTCTTCCAAGTTTTTCTGCATATGATCCAACACCAAGAGCAGGTGGTTTTATTGATGGTAGATTTATGACAGGAATTAAACCTCAAGAATTTTTTTTTCATTGCATGGCCGGTCGTGAAGGTCTCATTGATACTGCTGTGAAAACTAGTAGATCAGGATATTTACAAAGATGTCTTATTAAACATCTTGAAGGATTAGTCATTAATTATGATTCAACAGTACGAGATTCAGATGGTAGTTTAGTACAGATTTATTATGGAGAAGATGGATTAGATATACCGGGTTCACGATTTTTAAAAAAAGAACAATTAAATTTTTTGATAGATAATAAAAATGCGATTGTAAATGAAGAAATGATAAAAAATTTAAAAGAAGATTCAGATACAGATAAAATTTTAAAATTGGTGAAAAAAATTAAAAAATGGGAAAGTAAAAATGGAAATACGTTACAAAAGAAAAGAATTAGTCCATTTACAAGATTTTCAATGGAAAATATGAATATTAAAAGTTCAAAGTATAAAGAAATCGATAAACAAAGTGGAAGAAGCAAAGCTGCTGTTTCATATATGAGAAAATGGATAAGAACTACTGAAGAGGATAAAAAATGGATATATAATGAATGTATTAAATGTCCGGATCCAGTAATGTCAAAATATAGGCAAGATATAGATTTTGGTGTACTTTCTGAACGATTAGAAAATTTAATAGATGAATATTTAACTAATAAATCTAAAAATTTTATTATAAGGAAAAAAGATTTAAGAGATCTTTTATCTATGAAAGTAATGAAAGTTGTTTGTCCACCTGGTGAACCAGTAGGTTTATTAGCAGCACAATCAATAGGAGAGCCATCAACACAAATGACTTTGAATACTTTCCATTTCGCCGGTCGTGGAGAAATGAATGTTACTTTGGGTATACCTAGATTACGAGAAATATTAATGATGGCATCGAAAAATATTAAAACACCTAGCATGGAAATACCATTTCGAAAAGATTTAAAAAATGTAATAAAACGATCAAATAAATTAAAATTAAAATTGACTAAATGTATTTTATCAAATGTTTTAGATAATATTATTGTTAATAGAAAAATGGAGCAATGGCCTAATAGACAATTAATATATACTATAACTATTAATTATCTTCCGCATAAATCTTATAAAGGAGAATTTTGTGTTCAACCACATGAAATATTAAAGAAAACTGAAGAAGTATTTTTTAAAGAAATATTTAAAGAAATTAAAAAAATTGCTAAAATAACAGGTGCTTTATTACATGTTGAAGAGGAAAAAAAATCTATATATGAAGATGATGTTCTATTAGATCAAATAGAACCTGATCAAGGAACAGAATCTATATTGAAACCACAAACAAATTTAGGAGAAATGCATGAATCTTCAGATGAAGAAGCAGCAGCAGAAGATGCAGATGCAACTTTAACACGAACAATTTCACGTCATAGAGAAAATCAAGAATATGAAGATCCAGAAGAAGAGGAAATGGAAGACATAAATGAAAAAGAAGATGATATAGAAAATGAAACAGAAAAGTTAAGAATTGAAGCCCAAGAACAAAATGAAGATGAAGATGATGATGACATAGAAAATGAGAAATCAGAATGTATTACAAGTGAAATATATAATATACAAAGAAAGAAGAATATTAGAAATATGTATGTTAATGCATTAGAATATGATTATGATGAGAAAAAATTTACATGGTGTAAATTGACATTTTGGGTAAATAAAAAATTACATATTATATATTTATAATATATATTTATTTATATTATTTAAATTTAATCTAATATATAAGTATATTTTCTTAAATTATAATAAAATAATTATATTAATATTTATAATAATAATAACTTTTCAGTTACCTCTTAAGATGTTAAAATTAGACTTACCAACAATAATTAAAAATGTTGCAAATAGAGTTATTTTATGGGAAGTACCTTGTATAAAACGTGCTTTTACATTTCAAAATAATAATGGAGAAACAATTCTTAAAACTGATGGTATTAATATCATAGTAAGTAAAAAATTTTTATATTGATCATAATTTTGTATATTATATATTATTTTTACTTACATATTTTTTTTTTAATATAGGAAATGTTTAAATATGATAAATTTTTAAATTTGAATCAATTATATTCTAATGATATTTATAGTATTTCTCAAACATATGGTATTGAAGCTGCTAACAGAATTATTATAAAAGAAGTGAGAGATGTATTCAAGATGTATGGAATTACAGTTGATTCTAGACATCTGTCTTTAATTGCAGATTATATGACTTTTGATGGTAGATTTCAACCTCTTAGTCGTAAAGGAATGGAAGAATCAGCATCTCCTTTACAACAAATGAGTTTTGAAAGTTCACTTAATTTCTTAAAAAATGCAGCTTTACAAGGTAAAAAAGAAAATAAATTATTGAAATTATTTACTGATTGGAAAATTATATATTTAATACTTTTTATTTTTATTTTTTATAGGAAAACGAGATAATTTGGAATCTCCTTCTAGTCGACTAATGTTAGGTCAACCTTGCAAATCTGGTACTGGAATATGTTCATTATTAGTGAAAATACACAAACAATCAGAAAATAATGCAATTGTATAAATGTATATTAAATATCAATACTTAATAATGTACTAATTATTATATGCAATTATATAAATAAATTCAGTAATTTTTTACATTATTAAATAATAAAATAAAAAATGTTGATGCATATTTTTATAAGCTGATTATATTTTATTTTGCAAATAAAATATGTATAATAAAATTGACAATGTATTAACACAAATTTATATATCTTTTTATCTTTATTTTGTGAATAATAAATGGCTTTATTTCTTAATAAGAATATAAGAAGTTTTTGCTAATCATTTTTGTTGATTAATATTAATTAATAGATAATTCTGTTTAAAAATATTTTTATTATTAAAATTATTTATTTGTGTTTCTGAATTGTGTTTTTAAGTTTATCATAATTAGCACCAGAAAAGTTTTCCAGCTAAAACATAGAATATATTGAATTATTAATTCTTAATTACTTTTTTTACTTACATGAAATTTATATTAATTTAAAATAATACATACCACTTTGCTATTTTTGATGAAAACAAAGGTAGGCATACTGGTAATTTCATATTCACCAACAATATCTTCGCATTCATCTACATCAACTTTCAAAAAAATAACATCTTCCATTTCCTATTATAAAAAGATATAAAAATTATTTAATAGAAATTTTTTTTAAATAAAATAAAATAATATTTTAAATTAAATAAAATAATATCTAACCAGTGATAACTCTTCTACTTTAGGTCCAATTATTTTGCATGGACCACACCACACAGCAAAAAAATCAATTACAACCAATTGATCTCCAGCTTTTTCAAGCTGATTTTTTAAATCACTCTGTAAAGATAATATAAATAAATATTAATATTAATATTATTAATTGTATAATGTATATTAATAATGTTAATATAAATATTAAATATTGATTAAATTTTGAAATAGAATTATGTTTTAATATATTTTATTATTATAATTCATGAAAGTAATTAAATAATAAATTATACTGTTATATATATATAATGATTTTATATCAGTTTTATATTTGTCCTAAATATAGTTATCTATTTCTGGTTATCATTTATTTGATATTAAGTAAAAAAACAGATATTTTATAATAAAAGTATATGTTATTAAAATTATAAAAATAAACTAAAATATTTAAAATAAGAAAAATATA